GAATGGAATCCTAATTGGAACAAGTTATACTCCATGTATGTACAATATGTCACAATACACTCTACTGCCATGAATATCTAAAAAGAATTTTTAAATGATAAAAAAAGACACAGAAGACAGCCACATGATTGGAGTGACGCCTCTTCAAACCAAGAGACACCAAAGATGTTGGCACCAAGTGTCAGAAGTTAGAAGAGGCAAGGAAAAATTCTCCCCAGAGCCACCAGAGAAAGCACAGTCGTGCCAACACCTTGACTTAAGTCTTCTAGACTCCAGAACTGTAAGAAAAAAAGTCTGCTGTTTCAAGCCACCCAGTTTATGGTACTTTCTTACAGCAGCTCTAGGAAACTGCATCTAGGGCAGGATGAGATCCTCATTGCTTTTACTGACAATCTCTGAATGCTGTGTGCAGAGAGACTTGCAGGGAGCCCATGCAGATGTTGGTTTGCAATGGCAATGGGGTTCACAGGTGGGATCTAGAGTGATATGCCTGTGGGAGGAAGCATTAGCTTTTGGGCCTGGTGTTAGGGGTTAAGGAAGACGATCAAGTTCACTTTTGTCTGTATCTGGAAGGTATATTTTATGATGCTTTGACATCTTGGGGCCTGGCTTCAGTCTCCTGGAGAGCCCCCCTTTCCTAGAGCTGGATAACTCATTTGTAATAAACAACTGGGCAGTAAGCAAGTTACTGATACGTAAACCTATGAATCTGAGTCCATATTCCCGCCTACCTTCTGCAGTCCAGGACACTATCCCTCTGCCCTAAACCACTCCAGGCCAGGTACAGAACCTCTAGGAACCAACCACACTTATAGCCCAAGATTCACCAAAATTATTCAAATTTTTCAAATCCTTAACTGACTCAGCTTACCTGATCTGACCCTGGCTCATGTTTTTCCCATCACTTTTTCTTCTTTTGTTTTTTCAGAATATCAAATTCTGTAGCACTTTATTAAGTAGTTACAGCCATTCTAAACATCAGTCAATAAGCCAGAGACTTAGCAAAGTCACTGCTTTCCCCCCTCACTTCCACCTCCTGACTTCGGATGTCTGTCAGCTCTATAGTGATCTCTTCTCTCTCATTCCCGGCAGTAGCAATTTGTATATTTCTTGGTAAAACTTAGCTAGATGATTATCCATTTTACTGATCCTAAGGATTTTGATTTCATTACTATTCTCTATTTTTTCTGCTCATACACACACACACACACACACACACACAAACACACACACACACACACACCTGTGAAACCAGTATCACAATTAAGGTAATGAGCACCCCTGCCACCTCCAAGAATCCTACTCTGTCTGTCCCACTCTTGTAATAAGAAGACCTTAAAATTCACTCTTTCAAAAAATTTTTAAATATTATATCATAAGCAAATCTAGAACTTATCCATCTTGTATAACTGAAACTTTATAATTTTTTAATATTTATTTTTTAGTTATAGGTGGACACATATCTTTATTTTTTTTATTTTATGTGGTGTTGAGGACTGAATCCAGTGCCTCATGCATGCTAGGAGAATGTTCTACCTCTGAGCCATGACCCCAGTCCCCACCCCATAACTGAAACTTTATACCTTTTAGTCAGCTTTTTGTTATTGTGATCAAGATTCCAGACAAAAACAATCCAGAAGAGAAAAGTTTATTTTGTCTCATGGTTTCAGAAGTCTCAGACCAACTCTATTGCTCGGGCCGGAAGTGTGGCTGAACATCATTGTGGAAGGGTGTGGCAGGAGAGAGAGAGAGGTGGGGGGGAATTGAGGGCATCCAGGGACACTCCTGGTGCTCTACTTTCTCTAGCTATGCCCCACTTGCCTATAGTTACCATCTAGTAATCCATTCAAATTATTCTCTACCAAATGGATTAATCCATTAGTTACGTTATAGCTCTCAGATTCTAATCATCTCACCTCTAAACATCCCCAAATTAGTAAGATCCATTCAAACCATAACTATATCTGTTGGACAGCAGCTCCCCATTTACTCCTTCCCCAGTCCCTGGGGCCACCTTTCTACCCTCTGCTTCTGAGTTTGAATATTTTAGGTATCCCATGTAGGTGAAACCATGCAGTTTTGTCTTTCTGTGCCTGCCTTATTGCATTTGTTTTAGTGCCCTCTGGGTTCATCCCTGTTGTTGCATATGGCAAGACACCACTCTTTTTAAGGCCAAATGATATTCCTTTTTTGTATATCCAAGAGCAATCTTTTTTAATTGGTAAGGTCTAGTATTTCTGAATTTTCCCCTTTTATGCTTTTGTATCTTGTTCAAGAAATTTTTACCTAGGCTTGGTCCTGATCATTTTCTCTTGTACTTTTTCATAAACCTTTATAGTTATACATTTTGTATTTCAGTCTGTGCTTCACTTTATATTTATAAATATAAAAAAATATGAGGTTTAGGTGGAGCTTTTTTCGCCCAGTTACTCCAACATTATTTATTGAAAAAAACTGACCTACCTCCATTTAGTTGTTTTGTTCATTTATTAAAAATCAGTTGATTTTATTTTGGGGTCTACTTCACAGTTCTTTATTCTGTTTTCCTTTGATCTGTGTGTTTATCACTTAGCCAGCACCACATTATTGTATCTTGTTTACTGTAGCAACATAGTGAGCTTAACATCAGGCTGAGTGATTCCTCCTATTTTATTCTTCTTTCTCAAATTGTTTTAGCTACTCTAGATCCTTTACCTTTCCAGATATATATATATATATATATATATATTTAAATTTCCTTTTTAGTTGTAAATGGACACAATACCTTTATTTTGTTTATTTTTTTACTGTGGTGCTGAGGATCGAACCCAGTGCCTCACACATGCTAGGCAAGTGAGCCACAACCCCAGACCCCAGATATATATATTTTTAAACTTTTCTATTATTTTATTATTTTAACTTTATTATTTATTATTTTTATGCGGTGCTGAGGAAGGAACCCAGAGCCTTGGACGTGCAAGGCAAGCGCTCTACTGCTGAGCCATAACCCCAGCCCCGCCCAGATATAATTTTTTAAAGTGTGCTTATATCTATAAAAACTATTTCAGTGATTTTGACTGACATTTTGTTAAAGCTACAGATCATTTTGGGAATAATCAACGTTGTTATTGTGTTGATGCATAAAAATCCATGAACAGTATACCTGTCCATTTTTTTAGGTCTTTGATATCTTTGTGTCTTGTCATTTTTCACATATTCAATACACATTTTGCACAATAGTGTTCCATTTCTTGAGTGATTATAAATGAGAGTGTGCTTTTATTTTCAGTATCTCCATGTCTGTTGCTAGTACATTAAAATGCATCTTAGTTTTGGGTGTTGATCTTATGTTCACTTACTTTATTTAATAGTTTTATTGCAGATAACGTGGGTTTTCACATAGATCACCATGTTCTGCAAATGTAGACAGTTTTATTTCTTTTAATCTTATTCATTTGTATTTTATTTCCTGCCATGCTTTGTTGCCATGGCCAGAATTCCAGTTATAATAAGAATAAGAGTAGTGTGATAAAATATCCTTTCTGTTTTCCCAATCTTAGGAGGAAAGCATTTATTCTTTTGCCATTAAAATTGATGTCACCTACAGATTTTTTTCTGTAGATATTCCTTATGAGGTTGGAAGAATAACTTTCTATTTTTAGTTTATCTAGAATTTTTTATTATGAATAGATGTTGGAAAATTATATTCTAATTTCCATTTTAATATTTCTTTGATCCATGGATTATTTATAGATTCCACATATTTGGAAATTTTCAAGATTCCATATATTTTTAATTTTTATTGAATTCCATTATGATTAGAAGACAAATCTTGTGGCTTAAAATTTTTTTTAATTTATTCAGATTTTCCTTGTAGCTTTAGTATATAGATTATATTTGTAAATGTTCCATGTTCACTTGAAACAAATGTGTTTGCTGCTATTGTTGATTGTGGGATTCTGAACTTGTCAATAGTATTCTCTAGGTTTTCTATACTCTTACTGATTTTCTATCTATTTAGTCATCTGTTATTTGGAGGATTTGATTATTTTGTCATGCATTTTTGTTGTTGTTGTTTTGTTTTTTGGTACTGGGCATTGAACCTAGAGGCACTTTACCACTGAGCTACACCCCAGTCCTTTTTTATTTTGTATTTTAAGACAGAGTTTAGAGTCTCCTAAAGTTACTGAGGCTGGTGTTGAATTTGCAATCCTCTTGCCTCAGCCTCCTGAGCTTCTGGAATTCAGGTATGCATTACCACACCCAGCTTCTCCATGCAGTTCTTTCAGATTTTGCTTCATGTATTCAAAAATTATGTTATTAGGGGACTAAACATTTTTAATTCTTATATACATGTTTTGTTTTCGTTTTTGTGGTACTGGGTGTTGATTCCAGGAGCACTTTACCACTGAGGAACATCCCCAGCTCCTCCCCTCACCCCTTTTCTTTTGTATTGAGAAAGGGTCTCACTAAATTGCCTAGGCCGTCCTGGAAGTTGAGATCCTCCTGCTTCCAACTCCATAGTAGCTGGGATTACAGGCATGAACCATTACGTTCGACTTGTTGGAGCATCAAAACTCCTAGAGGACACAGTGTCTGATATAATGAATCTCAGGTAGGGTCTGAGAACTTGTATTTGTAACAGATGTCCAGGTAATACTGACATGATCTAAACATTTAATATTATTATGTTAAAGAATTATCTTCATTTTTCTTATAAATCTCCAATTTCAAGGCTCAAAGACATTAAGTGTTGGTGCGGGGCAGGAAAGTCAAGGCATGGGTCACCTGTTAAAGACTCTGGAAGATCATACTTCAACGCCCTCTCTTTGGAACCTTAGGTGGCAGTTTCATAGAGTACAGGAAGTGTGCGCCAAGTTCCACTCGGTTCAGGTAACTACATTACCCAGAAGGCAGTGCTTCGGGCGTCGAGGGCAAGCAGGCGCCGAGCCAATGACGGAACACGAAGGGGGCGTTGCCCAGGGCCGCGGGGGCGGTGCTTCTGGCTTCCTATCCTGGGATGTCCCTGGGCTGTGGCTGATCTGTCCTTACCCGCGCTGGGCGGAAGCGGCTTCCCAGGCCTTTCAACACCAAAAGGAGAAGGACGGTGTGGAGAATAGGACCAAATTCCACCTTTTGTGCGAACCGCTACCCGCTCCTGCCCGCCCCTCAGCAGGGTTCACGGCTGAGCGCTTTTCGGGACCTTGGCATCACCGGTCTCCACAGCACCCGGAGGCGGCGCCCAGAGCTTTGTGCTCATTTTACGTGGCAGAGACTGAGGTCCTAGGCTACCTCGGTCTGAAGTGAGGGATCACCTGAGGCCGCCGGACCAGCTTTTGTAGCCTCCACTCGCGGCCTCGCTCTGCCCACTGGGTCCCATGGCTGCGCCAGCGTTGGTGAGTGGAGGGTTCCTCCTGGATCTGGGGATCCCGGGGAAGGAGGGCAGGAAGGGACAGGGGCACTGAGCACTTCCAACCCAGGATTTCAATCTAGGTCGGGGTTTGTAGGAATTACCCATTTATGGCTCTACCTTGGCGCTTGTTGCCTGGCCACCCTTGTCCTCTCTTCCCGGGTCTGAAACGGGAATATTAATAATTATTTTTGAGGAACTGAGGAAAGTGACTTGTGCCCTTCAGTGCTCAGTACATAAGCATAACTGTCATTTCTGGGGAGGAACTTCTCAGATCCTGCTGTTTTCTTAGGGGCTCACTGTTATCTTAGGGGCCCTCTGGCCTTCCTGTCTAAGGCTTCTATCCCCCTGAGAGCTGGGAGACCAGATGAGAATCTCAAGGACAGAGGTGAGTTGGGAGCAGCATTTTTGGGATTGCTGCTCTTTGACAGGAGTAGAAAGTACCCCAAGAGGTTAGGGGACAAGATCACTGGATTCATCTTCGCAGATGTCATCTGTTTATTACAAGTGAATTTTGCTTACCACTTGACCTCAGTGAATCCGTTTTCCTGTTTAACACATTTGTCTGTATTGGCAAAGCAAATCCATTGCAGTATTCATTTCATGACAGTGTACCAGCAGTGTTTTGTCTCTTGGAATGTGAACACAAAACAGGCCCCAAGTTACTCTCCAGCATGCCACCCTGGTTACTCTCATTATTACCCTGATTACCTTCAGAACCTGTCTTATTTATTTTTGCTTGCCTGACCTGCTTTCTCACTTCATTCCAGCCTTGTTCAGGGTCTCTTCAGAGAAGTCTTCCCTGGCTGCCTCATCTAACATCTCCCCTAATCTTTATGGTTATCTCACTCTCTTGTTGTTTTCAAAGCCCTTAGAATCATCTGATTTTACCTTGCTCATTTATTATCGAGAAACCATCCTCAACCCTGGAATGTGAGCTACTAGAACAGGTAGGACCTGAACCACTTACTCAGTAAGTGGTTGATGAGTGAAAGTCTCTGCCTTCTGGAGCTTCCATCGTCCTTAAATTAACCTTCCATGTGGTTAATCTAAACTTTTCACCATGGCTGAAAGTTTCCACCAAGCTACTTGCCGCAGTCCAGCTGCAGCAAAATAGCCGGGGGGTGACGAACAACTTGTGTACGTTGATACAGCAGGAGTGGGAGCCGTTTATTGCAGGACAGGAGCAGTATTTATACATTCCACACAGCTTATCTAATTAGCATAAACTAGATACATCAGTCAACCAATAAGGAATCTCCACACTTAATGGCTCGCTTTTGTTACTTCTCAAACCACTCCCTCTGGCATTTTGCCAGGCACCATCCAGACTTGTTTACGAACTCTAACATTCCCCTGGCAAAATGCCAGGTGTTATTTTTGACTTGTTTACAGACTCTAACATTTCCCCCTTTTGTTTAATTTAAATAACGACCATAGTGGTTTTTACAGAAACACCATAAATAACCTGCTACAAACAGAAAGGGAGGATACAAAATGCCACAATACCAAGCCACTTGATGGCTCCATGCAAGAAGCCCTTGGAAAAATTATACCAGCAATGACACTGTTAGCAAAGATACTGAGTTACAATTTGTTATTGATTACAGTTTGTTGTCTCAGTCCAGGTAAAGCAGTGTCTCAATGGATTAACTCACAGTCCAGGTAAATCATAGTCCAGGTAAGTTCTGCAGGCAGCTAGCTTAAATCACAGTCCAGGTAAGTTCTGCAGGCAGCTAGCTTGATCTGAAGTTTCGTCCTTTTCTCAGCCGAAGTCTCGTCCGGTTTTTAGCAACACTGGAAATTCTTCCACCTTCACTGGCACTGGGACGAAGGCAGGAACTCCGGATGGCTAAAGAAAATCCTGGAGCATTCTACTAAGAAAACAACCTTCTGAACAATTTAGTACATTATCTCAAGGTTTTTTACATTTGAAATAGGCCTTAATGGTGCTCATTACTCATCAGCCTCCAGGTGTGGGAGAACCATTGTAGCTTAGTTATTGGCCTTGAAAATGACCAAACATCAGGGACACCAGTAGCGTCTTCTGCTGGCTGTAGTGTCCTGGGCAGCCCCAGATGGCCCTGGGGAGTGTCCCGGACTCAAACTGCTACTGGGCACAGGGAGCAAGAGCTTGGGAGACTGTGCCTCCAGGTCAGGTCTAGATTTGGGCGCGGCAGTGGAAGAGCCAGCTCCCCGGCCAGGAGGCAGGGAAGGGCCAGTCGCCGCCGCCTCTTGGAAAATCCTTGCTGCGCTGTGACCGGCTTGCACACTCGGCAGCCGCCTCTCTGCTTCACGCACCCTCCGGTAACGAAAAGTATTTAGTAATAGCCTTTTGCTGCAACTTTTTTCCTGATAATCCTTCTTCTTCTGAACTTTCTTTTTCTTTCTGACTAGAGTTCCTGGGCTCTTATCAACACATGCCCTAACTATTCTTGGTTCCACTGGGGTGCCTCCTTTCCTTAGTAATTTACTTCTCACCCCTTCCATATTTTCATCACAAAGACAATACAATACACTGAGACAAAACAAGACACAAACATACTGTATCAATCTTCTCCATTTTCTCGAAATGGTCATTTTTCCTCTCCCCTATCTGCCTAGGGACGAGCAGATTGCTCCCGTCCTATCTATGGACGGGCAGCATTTTTCGTCACTTACCCCCGAGTGTCCCGGGGCTCCCCGTACGGGCCACCATCTGCCGCAGTCCAGCTGCAGCAAAATAGCCGGGGGGTGACGAACAACTTGTGTACGTTGATACAGCAGGAGTGGGAGCCGTTTATTGCAGGACAGGAGCAGTATTTATACATTCCACACAGCTTATCTAATTAGCATAAACTAGATACATCAGTCAACCAATAAGGAATCTCCACACTTAATGGCTCGCTTTTGTTACTTCTCAAACCACTCCCTCTGGCATTTTGCCAGGCACCATCCAGACTTGTTTACGAACTCTAACATTCCCCTGGCAAAATGCCAGGTGTTATTTTTGACTTGTTTACAGACTCTAACACTACTATTTCATTCTTTTCTCTACCTTACCCTTGGGCCATGCTGGCCTAAATGTGCCAAACTGGTTGCCCACTTTTCTCTGTCACATTGTCACCAAATCTCTGCAAAACTTCCCCTTGGAGGTGTGTACATTGAGCTTTCCCAGGGTGCTAAGAAGCAAGTGTAAAAATTCTTAACAATATTCCACCCACAATGGGTTGGGGGTTCTAGGGTTGATACCCAAAGTAATCTTTGCAAGAGGAAGGTACAGGCCTATCTCTGGCAGGTGGCCATGGGAACAAAGGGGATTTGGGGAAACTTCTAGGCAAAAGGAGCTGCCAAGGACAAAAGCAGGCTTTGTTCAAGAAGGCATGAAAGGACCTGGGGGATTGCCAAGGGGTCTCATAAGCTACTGAAGTGTGTCTCTGGAAGGTGAGATTGTGTAACCCTGAATCCACATCAATCATTCCATCTTCAACCAAGATAGACCTCTTACTAAATGTTGCTGCCCATGTTCTGAGATCCATAACCTGCAGTATCCTTTGTCACTTGTGTTACATGGTGCTTAGGTAGCAATATCTTAGGGAAATGTGCTGACAGTGGCTCAGAATGACAAATAATAGACTGGTGATTCCTTATGGAATCTTTCAGGGAATCTGCAAGTCCCAGCTATAGCTTGAGGACAGGGAGAGGTTGTTGGAACCCTGCCAAGCCCCAGTAGTTGGCACCTGCTCAGATATCTCTTCTGTAAGGCACTTCACAAGGGCTCTGCTCTTCTATATCTATGGGAATATTTTCAGGAGTGGCTGAAATGCTTTTTAATGTCGATATTGGAAATGTTTCTTGCCCTTGTTACTGTGGATTCACTGTGGTAATAGAGGATTATACCCTTAGACCTCGAATCAGAGGATCTGGGTTCAAGTTCTGCCTCTTCTCATTACATGTACAGCTCTGAGTGACTTGACTCAACCTCGATTTGCTGAGTGTGACATGGAGATGATGATGGCATTTATCTTATGGACTATGGGATGATCATAAAATTTGCAAACACACAAATCTATCCCTGTGACATGTGGCAGACTCTGCCATGTTTGTTTTATGAACATTTTCTCTTTAATACCCACAACAGTCTAGTGAAGTAGGAACTATTGATGTATTCATGTGGAAATTGAAACTCAGAGTAATTAAGAGATTTCCCCCAAGGTCAAACATCTGGCAATTATCGGTTCAAGAGGCTGGATTGAAACCTCAGGAGACTGGAGACTTTTAGTTGCTTTAACCAGCATGCACAGTCTTCAGGGGAAGGCAAACAGGCTCAGATGCTGCTACTGTAAACATTGTTTGAATTATTGTTTTTCCTCACTCTTCTAATGTCCCAGAGCACTTATTATCTGCTCCTCACAGTCCACATGGGACTATCATTGTCTTGTGGCTTCCTATATAGGAAGCTTTTCTCCCCCATACCTTTGTATTTTGTCAAAGCCATGTCTTCCTCATCTGAGGCCTAGTACCAAGCTAGGTTCTCATATACTCCGTGGTTCAGGCCTTGGGACAGTAACCAAGCAATAGGCTCTAATCTCATCTGTTAGCCACACAGTTCCCCGACCACCACTCTGTTTGGCTTTCCAGGCATTGGTATCATTTGAAGATGTGGTCGTGACCTTCACTGGAGAGGAATGGAGGCATCTAAACCTGACCCAAAGGACCCTCTACCAGGAGGTGATGCTAGAGATCTGTGGGCTCCTGGTCTCACTGGGTAAGGCTTCATTGTCTTCAGGTAGAGCCTGAACTCTCTTTCAGTCCATTCTCTCTCTCTCTCTAGGCATGACTAGAAGAGAAGGCCTCAGGAACCCACTTCCCTCTTTCCTGCCACCTCAGCGTTTTGTGGTCTGATTTCCTCTTGCTTGGTTTCTGTGCATCTCCATCAGGGATTGTTGTGTAGGCTACACAGTCCTTCTCAGCATTTTCAGTGTCTAATACAAGCCAAAAGCAGTCTTGACATCCTTTCTCCATAATCCCACATGAAGGAAGGTAATTGGCCCAGCATAGGTGAAGCAAATGCCCTCAGTCTGGTTGGCAGGATTGACCGAGAATGGGAGGTTCTTGTCTTATTCAGACAAGCAATAAGAAGGCATTTGTCTTCAGTGCTGCTGGCATCTTTCTAAGCAACACTCTCATCTGAAAGGCTTCTTTGGGACCAGGCACAATGATATACACTTGTAATCCTAGCAACTCAGGAGAATGAGGCATGAGAATCACAAGTTCAAGCCCAGCCTCTGCAACTTAGCAAGACCCTGTTTCAAAATAAAAAAGGACCAGTGATTTAGCACAGCAGTAAAGTACCACCTAGTTTCAATCCCCAGTCCAAAAAAAGAAAAGCTTTCTTTGATCCCTAGTACCTGCACAGTTGACCCTTATTTAGGCATGTGCTTTGCTTCTCTGCTTGTATGGGAGATGACTTTTAGCTGATGTATGGTCAGGTTATCAAATGGCATTGATGGGCATCTGAGAAAGCTGTCCTTTCTTACATTCCCATAGCTATTGCCTAAAAGCAATAAGAAGTAGCCCCAAACTCCCAACCTTGAGCAGGCATGAGCTTGTTGGGACTTAATATCATTTTAATTTTATCATTTTTATGGTACCTTTTTTGCCAGTTTCTAAAAGCAAGTGAGCTAATACTTACAGTGTGCTTAGAAGAAAAATGGGAACAAAGCAAGTTTTGCACATGTATTTGTTTGTGTAACAAATGAATAAATCCCAAGTGTTCTCCCATCTAAACCTTTGACAATGACCACTTTATCCAGAAATTGGCCTGAGTAGGAATTGAATAAGACCCGAGGTCTCCATTTTCCCAGATGTTCGAATGGTTACCTCTGCTAGGCTTCTACCAGTCTTGCCATCCTCGAGGATATTATCCTGTTAAATAAGGAGGACAAAAATAACATTCTTGTAGATTTTATGACAGCTGTGATTGAAAGAAGATGTATGGAGAACAGCATTCTAGCAGAGTCCCTGAGGGGACGGGGAGCTCGAATCCTTAACAGACATAAAGGGTTGATTCACCTTTACCACTGCCCCATCACCTACCTCAGTGCCATGGCAGACATCAGCGAACATTGGCTAAGTGACAACTGGATGCATTCTGGCCTGCTGTCCAAGATTTTCCAGTTGATATTTGTGTCCTTTTTCCTCAGTCTTTGACTTCTCTTCAGAGTTTTATTTTAGCCTTCACATTTGGCCAAGTTTGTGTGACTGAGTATAATGGAAGACTATCTCATGCTGTTTTCATCCCGAAGAAAAGAAAAATTACCTCATCAAATAAGAAACCCAAGGTAGTACTGGTTCTCAGGTTGATAGAGACCAACCCAGCTCTGTTCATCTGTTTTCCCTCCTGGTCTAGATCATCAGGCCAGCACCTTTGTAGGGGCCCCAGGATGATACCAAAGCAACTAGAGCAGGAGGCTGCCACATGGACTTCTCTCCTCCAAATATGAATTAAAAGCTTTTTTTTTTTTCAGAATGGGTAGCTGGCTTAGGTCACCTTCCTGCCTCAGACAATTGACTGTTAGTAGATCTGTTCATCTGTTGATTTGGTTCAGTATTTCTAATCATCCCTGGGCACAAGAATGGCCTGGGAAACTTTAAAAACTAGCAGTGCTCTGTCCTGATGCCCAAAGATTTCATTCACTTCATTCCATTTTTGGAACCAGGTATTGCTAAGTAGTTCTCAGGCACAGAGAAGTGAAATCTACTGACTTGGATTTGTTAAGAGATTACCTTCAGATGTGAGACTTGGGTCACCTTTCTGTTGTGGCCTAGCAGCATGTTAAAGATATGTACTCCCATAAACTTGAGACTTTTCCTCTTGTCTTTACCTGTATACCGATGTTCTATTTATTTCTTATGCCAGGGCATCCTGTTCCGAAACCAGAGTCGATATTGGATCATGAGCAGGGACTATGGACAGAGAAGAGACACCTCTCCCAAAGCACCTGTGCAGGTAGGTGATTAAGAATCTGGCACTGGGTGTCATGGCAGCCTGCAGACTACCAAAGGATCACTGTGTCTGAAATTTATGGGCAGCTTCTTTTTGTGGACTTACTCGGGTCAAGTTTGTATGCAGCACTTTGAACTGTGGTCCCCCTACCTTCCCACCCACATCACACACACTTAGATAGGAGATAAACTCTGGGCTGTAAATTATTTGGCACTCCCAGCCTCTTGATCCTGTGGGAGCTGCACAATCTCACTGTTCCTGAGTTAATGCTACCTGCTCTCAAAGATAAACTCCAAAATATTGGTGGCTCAACAGATTTTTTTTTTTTCTCATTCATGCCATTCTTCCATGTGGGTCAACAGAGGCTCTGTACCACATATTTATTTAGGGATCCAATTGTATTCTGTTGTCAACATGTGTTTTTCAGTTTTCCCTGGCCCATAGAAATAGGTGAGAAGGGCAGCTGTCATATTTACTCACACATGCATGTCACTTCATTTACATCACACTGATGAGAACTGGGTATTAGGCTACATGTTTGACCAAGCTGGGAAATGTAGTTTAGTTTTGTGCCCAAGGAAAAGATCTCAGGGGTATACTTGGCCTGCTAAACTTTGGGAAAGGTAGTAATAATAGTTTCTGCATCCTTGGGTTGTTTGAGAATGTAATTGGATAACAGGAAATTATTTAGCACACAGTACCGGGGTCAATGCCCAGCATCTCACTGAGGGGTTCTTCCTTCCCAGGAGAATCTAAGCCACCATAAAAAAACTTAAAATCTCAAATAATTATTGAATAACAAAACACAAATATTCAGAAATATATTTACAAAAGGCAAAGCCCCTGATAGATCTAGTCCACATGGGTTCTAGAACTAGCAGTTCACACCCATCTCAGGTGCTGTGTGGGATCTCTGGCCGAGCTTGAGGGGGAAGTTCACCTGCATCAGGCAATCAATCCCTGTGAGGGTGCCATAGGAGGTTTCCAAAATGCCAGACCTATCCCCTATATAGAAATTATACCTCAGTACAAAAATACAAGGGAAAAAATAGTATAGGGTATTTAGGCTACTATACGCAATATAGCCCACATACAGCCCACGGATGGCTCATGACAACATAGCCTGACCCAGAGTAGCTCAACAAAAGTTCCCTGTGGTATTAATATTTATGCTTTATTAGTCATAGTGAATAGTGACATCTAAACTTCCTTCCACATTCATAAGATGGGCCTTTCTTTTTCTGCATGTAACTCCAGCTGTACTCTGCATCCCATCCTCTTTCCCTTCTCCAGTCATTTCTTGACCTAACCATCAATGCACGTAACTCGCCTTCCATTTGTGAATCAGATGCTCAGAAGCATCCCCTAATCCTGTTGTCCTCTTGCCCTGCTGTCCTGTTAAACCCTCAAGGTGACATGTTTTCCCTTGCCGGTCTAAGAGCATCTAGAACTATCAGGTGTGTGTATTGCTGACACTGCAGATTCGTGGCCTCTCCCCTCTAGTGTTCTTTTAGGCTGCTCAGCCAGCTTCAGCTCTCTCCCTAATTCCCCATCTTCACTTGAATGTCTCAGGGGCTCCCTACACTCATCATGCCTAAAAATAACCTCATGATCTTGCCCACTCCTCCCTTCTCATTTTCAACTAGTGGCCCTTTTAATCAGTGGATAAGTTCAAAAACAAACCTAGAAAACCCACCAATATCTCCATCTCTACCAAACCCAATATTCAGCATTCCGAATCTTGACCATTTTATAACATACATAGCTCCAAATCTATCACCGTCACCCGTCCCATCAGCTCCAGCGATAGCACTCTGGGCTAAGCTGTTTTTACCACTTAACCTGCATGATGATAACAGATCCAGAACTGGTTTTCCTACATCTGCTGCATGCCGCAGCTCAGTGTGTTATATTCACTTCCCCATTTACTCACACACTATTCCAAATGTCACCACCTGCTTTGCCATTGATGTCTCAGCATATGACCTACTTCATGTTGAAAACAAAGCCTACGTGCTTGTCTTTCTTGCTCCTTCATCCTTAATGAGTCGACCCTGCAGCTTCCTTCTCACCTTGTGGAGGCATTCTCAACCCCAGCGTGGCTCATTCCCCCAGCAGAGTCCAGATTACACCTCTCCTGCCTTCTCAAATGTGTGAGTTATCTGTTGCTGTGTATATAACACAGACATCGCAGCCTGAGAATCCCTCATTTTATCTCATCCAGGCACACTTAGCTGGGTCCTCTGTAAGGCCACAGTTGTAGGCAGCTGACATCACATCAGCTCACTTCTTCAAATCAAGCAACTGTGTGAGAGACTGCAGCAGGACTGAAGCTGCAATCTTGTAAAATCAGATATATTTTATCACATACATTCTTTCACCTTTTCATAGTCTATTCTTTAGAAGCAAAATCCTGCCAATATTCAAATGGAAGGGATAATAAAAGGGTATAACGGGTGTGAACATCATGAGGTGGGGATTGTGGGAAGCCATACACGAATCTTGAATGCTGCAGCAGGAACACACTTCTCTTATTTCCTACTTTTCTATCCTCTCTACTCAACCTTAAAAAAAAAAAAGTGAAGTTCTTGACATTTGGGAGAAACAAAAATTAAAAATTTCTTGGCTTTCCAACAGTATCTAAATATTATTGATTCTATCTCATCTGAATAACCAAGCTTTTTGGAGTTTTCTCATTCTTAGAAGAGACATCTGCACAAGATCTACCCTTTATATTTATTTGTAGACATATGATTAGTTTAATTGAAACCAACAGTTTTAAAGTAACTGTACCATTTTACATTTCTACCTGCCCCATATGAGTCATCATTGCTCCACATACTCCTGAGCAACTGGCGTCTTCCTCTTTACTCTGAGCGGTGTTTCTCAGCACCATAGATTAGAAGTGTTCTTACTCAGGTCCCTGTTGCCAAATATAACAACAACAACAACAACAATAATAATAATATATAGTGGTCTGCAATTTACTGGACATTTACTCTTCACATGCAAATGGATGTTTTATCTCATGTAATGCTCATAACAACTTGTAAGGCAGGAACTGAGAATCTCCCAGTTTTTCAGATGAGGAGATTGAGTCTTTAAAAGTATTACTACTTCAACTGCTGAAACAAAATACTATATAACAGGTATCTTATGCAATAGAAATTTATTTTTTTTCTGGAGGCTATAAGTTCAAAGTCAGGGTTCCAGCATGGTTAGGTTATGCAGATGGCTGCCTTCTTGCTGTGTTTTCATAGGGTCCCTGGTGCATGCATGCAGAGAGAGAGAGAGAGAAATCTCTCTCTGCCACGCGACCAGCGCTGGCTTCATGAAAGAAGGTTCAATTCATGAGTAAACACTAGGGAGTTCTAAATTAAAGAGACAAGACTCTAATTACCTTTAATACCAGCTCTGGGACTGCTTCTCCTAGCTCCCGCCTCCAGCCACCTAATGCAGTAGCGAGGTTTACAGAAGAGACGAGCGCGAGAGAGAGAGAGAGAGAGAGAACATGCCAGGGAGTGGACTTTTACTGGGGAACAAAAAATTCCAGGGAAAATCCCATCCAATGAAGGTTAAGGGGGGCAGCATCCCAAGGTCAGGGGCGACAATTGGGTCTTCAGGGCAGTGGCCAGACACCCTCTGCACAGACAAGCCCTCGGACCTGGAGAAGGGTGGAGAAAGCTCTGACACAGCCATGTCTAAGCGCCTCTCACCCAACCAGGGAGGTAACTCAAATCACATGCGAGGATGGCCTCCCCATCTCTGTAGTATCTCTTTTTATAGGAACACTAATCCTAATAGGTCAGGGCCCTATCCTTATGACCTTATATAACCTTAGTTACTTTCACAAATGCCCTATCTCCAAATGCAATCACACTGGGAACTAGGGTTTCAACATAGGAATTTGGGAAGAATATAAATATTCAGTTCCTAACAAAAAGCTAATTTGCCAGGAACACCTAGCTTTGGTAGAGGCAGAATTTGAACAAAGTGTTCTGGCTTTATACTCTACATGCCTAATGATACTCTGCTGCTTCTCAGTTACCCCAGAAACTTTCCTCACATTATCATGCTGCAGCTTTATAGCATTCTGTTCTTGTTTCTTCTTTCCTTCTTCTGACTTGACCTTTACTATTGTTTTCTGATTCTCATCCATTCTTCAACACTGGATTCATGGCCCTTTCTTTCTATTCTGTACACTTTCTCTAGGTATACTCATTCATGTTTACCATCAACTTTAACCCTAGTGCAGTTGGCCCATAACACAGCCATGACGGGGATGCTGACCCAGTGCCTGCCTGTGCCTTACTACGGACTGTGTATGTGCTGTTTCACATCATCCTCACAATAGTCCTTTAATTGAACCTTTAGGAATTCAAGTGGGTCACTAAAGGTGACAGAGCTAGTGTGGGGTACTGCAGGAATTTCAGACTGGGGTGTTTGTCTTCAGAGTTCATGAAGTTAGCTGCAGTACTCTGTAGGTCCTCTCTACTAAGAGGACTCTAAGACTTTTATAACTGTCTTAAGGTGTGCAGATTTAGACAACTCACTAACTGTGATATATAACACACTACCATCATTGGTCAGTTCATATCTTAGTTTTCTATTATATTTTATTTTGTTAAGGTATTTATTTATTCATTGCCTTTTAAAAGATTATAATGAACAACTATGAACCCTTTACCCAAGTACAAAGTTACCTTCTTCCCACATCTGTTAATATGCTTTTTCCTTTCCCATTTCTACACCACTTCCCTTGCTTATATGGCTACTTTATTGTGGATTTATTATTCCTGTGCTTGTTCCATAGGAAAATAAATGTTTTGGATAAATACAGGCTATCCATGGATTCTGTTATTTTTTGTATCAGCTTTGGTAATTTGACTCACTTAAGGGATTTGACTACATTATCTGATTTGTTTACCTATTACTTTTTGTTTCATCTTACTTAAAATAGTGAATTTCATGTTATATATGTTCTACTGCAATAAAAAACTTAAGATGTATAGATACAGTTTTTATAATACCACTAAAAACTGACCAACATTCTCAAAAAAAATTAAGGTAGTTTTGTTGTACTTTTTGTGTGTGTGTGTATATATATATATATATATATTGCTTTTAAGTGTATCACAGTTTATCTTGTCTTCTGATATTCATACTGTTCAACAGGATATTACTAATTCATGATGTGTATAGCAGTTGTTCACTTTTTTCTGCTATACTCATTTACATGAATATAACACAGTGTATTCATCCATTTTTAGGGGCATTTACATTATAGTTTTTTGTTCTCACAAACAGTGCTGCCATGAAAATTCATATACATGTATAGGAGTTTCTCTTAGTAATGTTCATCAGACTGGAGTTTGGGGATTATAAGGTTAGCAAAAGAAGAGCTTTACTAGATGATACTCTGTTGCCTTCTAAAACAGTTACAGTATTATAATAAAACAGAACAATTATAATAATATACTGCAGTAAATTATGTGAATATATATGTATTCTCTCCTAATTCCTTGTCTGGTAACTCTTACTCTTCTTTAGAAATAAGCTCCCATAGTGCCTTTTCCAGCTGCATAGCCTCCACCGATGTCTTTCTTCCACCTGTTGCTCCCTGTGTTGTTACAGTGCCATGGGGCTTCTTCTCTTGGAGCACATGAATCACATACAGTGTAATCATTCCTCTGCCCACCCTCCCTCATTCCAGATAATGAGGCAGTCTCCACTCCATGTTCTCTGTCCCCTCCACCAACTTTTCCTTATGTGTTTCCCTTGAAATATATCAAGAGCCCAAGGATTAGAAAAGAAATTGCAAATTTAGTTTTAAGAGGTGTACAAAAAAAAAAAAGTGAACAAATGCAGCAGGCATTAGAGACTCTATTTTCATCTTCATTCTTTTACTAAAGTGATGATTTTCTTTATTCTGTGTACATCACTAAAACACCTTTTTATGTTGGATTTCCTTCAGGTGAAAAAGCAAAACCCAACATCACAGCACCTACTGCTTCTCAACTGACCTTCTGTGAGAAATCTTCTTTTCAAGAACAACTGGCACAGAGGTCCTCAAAGGATTCCAGATTGGGGCAAACCAGAGACGAGGAAAAGCTATCAGAAATGCAGGAAAGGAACTGGAGACCAGGAACAGACCCCTACAAGGAGACATGCCCTGGAAAGTGGTGCCATAAAAATGATGATTTCGAGACAGATGATAATCTGTGTTTAAGAGTTTTACAGGAGCGAGTCACTCCACAAGATGCTGTCCATGAACATGACTCCCAAGGACCAGGAAAAGACACTGGGATTAATTCAAGGAGCAGCCTCTATAAATGCAAAGAATGTGGAAAAGGGTTTTGCAAAAATTGGGCCCTTGTTCGACATCAACAGATTCATACTGGAGTAAAGCCTTATGAATGCAGTGAATGTGGGAAAGCCTGTCGTTATATGTCCGACTTCATTCGACATATGCGGTTTCATACTGGGGAAAAACCATACAAGTGTAAGGAGTGTGGGAAGGCCTTCAAACGCAGGTCTCACCTCACGGAGCACCAGCGTATTCACACTGGAGATAAGCCCTATGAATGCAAAGAATGTGGTAAAGCTTTCACCCACCGCTCTTCTTTTATGCAGCACAATATGACGCATACTAGAGAAAAGCCCTTTTTGTGCAAAGAATGTGGAAAAGCTTTTTACTACAGCTCTTCATTCGCCCACCACATGAAGATTCACACTGGAAAGAAGCTGCATGAGTGTCGTGAATGTGGAAAGGCCTTTACTCACCGCTCCACTTTTATCCAGCATAATATGACCCACACAGGAGAAAAACCCTTTGTGTGCAAAGAATGTGGAAAAGCTTTTTGTCTCAACTCATCCTTCACGCAACACATGAGAATTCACACTGGTGAGAAGCCCTATGAGTGCAATGAATGCAGAAAGGCCTTTACTCATCGGTCCACTTTTATCAGACATAAGAAGATCCATACTGGGGAGAAGCCCTTTGAGTGCAAAGAATGTGGGAAGGCCTTTTGTGATAGCTCTTCCTTGATTCAGCACATGAGGATTCACACTGGTGAGAAGCCCTATCAGTGCAGTGAATGTGGAAAGGCCTTTACACACCACTCTGTTTTTATCCGACATAATAGGACCCACAGTGGAATAAAACCACTGGAGTGTAAACAATGTGCAAAAGGCTTTTATTATAGCTCATCCTTCATTCGACACATGAGGATTCACACTGGAGAAAAGCCCTATGTTTGCAGAGAATGTGGAAAGGCCTTTACCCAACCTGCAAATTTTGTTCGGCATAGTAGGATCCACACTGGAGAAAAACCCTTTGAGTGCAAAGAATGTGAGAAGGCTTTTTGTGACAACTTTTCCTTAACTCAGCACATGAGAACTCACACTGGAGAGAAACCCTTCGAATGCAGTGAGTGTGGAAAGACCTTCAGCCACAGTTCATCCTTCACTCACCATCGAAAGACTCATACCAGAGTTTAATCCATTTTGTCTCATCAACCCAGAGGTGGAACACCTATAATGATAACTCAAACTGAGCAACAGATATACCCCTGGGGTCCCTCTGAAATAAGTGTTTTTAGAGTTTTATTCTTTTGATGAGAGAAAAAAAAAGGCCTCATCCTCAGGAGAGATGGACCATTAAGGGTAGCCTTGCCAACACTTATTAAAAGCATTCTTTGTACCAAAATATTGTCATTTCTACTCTCAAGTAGCATAAGATTTTGTGAGGAAAAAAAGCATGAGACATGAAATACCCACATGCACACTTCTCTGTATTTACAGTGAATTCTTGTTATTCATAGTAGTTGTGTCCTATGAATTTGCAACACTGAATTGGTAAATATGGAACCATTGTTGATAGGGGAAATAATACAGTTAGAGTCCCATAAGCCTCTGGTCCAAACGTTTTCATTAACCAATAAATTCATGATATTTTTCATTTTTAATTTAAAGACAACTTATATATTAATATGAAAATATATATATATATATATATATATATATATATATATA